AATTTGAAAGTCAGTTCAAAATTTAGAAATAAATAACCTAAAAAGAAATTAGTTTCCTAATTTAGGTTTAAAGGTATTTTGAAAAATTACTTCCTAAAATGAGCCTCCTAAAATTATCTAACCTAATTTATTTAGATAGTTCAAATTAATTAGTTGGGTGAAAATAGTTTAAGCTAATAGGTTTAATTAAAAGCCTAAAAGATATTGTGGTAGGAGGATAAACATGAACCTTATTGGATAAGAATGAATGTTTTAAAGATAAAATCAAAAAACCCATATGTAAAATAACTTTTAATCCTTAGAGGATTAGGAAGCAACAACATAGAGTCTTTTAGGGACCGATAGCCGCCCCATCCTTCTCCTAGGAGGACAAGGAAGCCTCTCCTATAAATATACAGGAGAGAAGTCCGACAATTAGAGAGAGTTTTAAATGAGAGAAAATGATACAAAGAAAAAAAAAAGGCTAGGGCACATGGTATTAAGTAAAAAAAATAAGAAAAAATAGTTTTCTCCTAAACTCCTAGCACATACCATCTTCCCTCTATCCTCTTGGGTTGTTGTAAAATTATCCCGATTAGATTTCTAAAGCATAAACACTAAACAAGTTAGAAAAGGTGGAGCTAACACTCTATCAATTTTGAGTGCTTCTTATATGGTGCTTGGATCGTGTGGATTATCGATAGCGATCAAACAATTAGACGGCTCTATTTTACAAAGGTTTAAATCTACACTAAAAGAGGTAATTCTTTATTTCTCACTTTAATTCATGAATAAATGATTAGTTGATTCAACGACATGATCTTGGATACTTTAGATAGAGAAAATTTTTATTTTATTTTGCACCACTATAGGATGCATGATCCTTCAACCTACACTACTAATCTAGAAAATAATAAGGTTCAAATGTGATTGGATTGATCCTACATCGAATGGAAGTGTTCATTTCTAATATAGACTAGAGGAGATAAATTATAGGAGTTTCAACATATATGAAACCTTTTTTCTAGCAGACACATGTGACTCAAGTGTATTATGTCGTATATCCTAGCTTAAAGCACGACTATTTACATTGGTGGATTGTTTGTAAGATAAAAGCTAGGGTTATGGTTGATTTGCCAAAGTCATCTATTGGAGTCCAACAAAATGCAAAAAGTTTTTAGGAGAATGATTCAAAAATCTAACAAAATTTGATCCAGGTAGATGGTGAGGAGCATTCGTTGAATGATCTAATGGATCATTGATAAATATAGCAGTAATTAAAGCTAATAAATAAGATGCGAGTGAATATGTATCAAAATTAACTAAAGGAGGTTAAAACTTAGAACATGATTATGATAGTTATAATTAAAGATATATTTTATTTATGACATTCATTCAATTATATCATTTTATCTATTATGCGTTTTTAAATATTTGTTATGCATTTTCAACAAGTTGAATGTTATGCGAGATGGTGTCTCTAGTAATAAGGAAATTCCTAATTTATAAGGGAGACTATGCCAAATTTTGGTTTGCTTTTTTATCAAAAAAATTTATAATATACTTTCAATTGAATTATTATTTTATTTTATTTGTTAAATTATTTTAGGTCTTATTATACGGTTATGCCTTTTAGATTGGACGAGATCTAATTATAGTGCCAATGGTTGTGGCTTTAATGGCGATAGCATCCATGGTTATGGCATTGATACTAGCATTGTTCATGACTACGTCACCGATGGTGGCACCGTACGTAGACATGAAACTGCTAGTGTCGGTGTTCAACGCTATTGACTTAATAGTGGTGCCAACACATCTACATCCCTACTAGTAGTGACCCCTCGGGTAGTGCCCTTGTCGCTAATGCCTTGCCGGTAGTGCCCCGGCTATGGAGGTTCCCATGATGATTTCCTCGGCTCTAGAAAGCTCTACTAGATTTGATGTTGTACGTACTATTTGAGTCGTGAATAACTTGTAAGTAACATGCTTCACATGTGATAATTATTTTTATATTTTCATATACTATATTGGAATCATTAATTCACTTATTAATTATTTATTTTTTTGTTTGACAATTTGATTCAATCAAGTACTCCATAAAAATCACTATAATTTTCAAGGAGCAATTGGACCCTGCCGGCTCCATATGAAAGTCCATCTCCATGGAGATGAAAGACTTTTACTATAATGAGTTTATGATAATATATTAATTATTTTTTATATTTGATTTTGAATTATTAATTTAATATGAATGTGTTAATATTTTTTTCTTCTTGTAGAAATACTTTTTATAGGATACGATCGTCGATACGGCGATTAAAGATGCATGAGAAACTCTAACATGAAGGCGGTATGACGACATGCTCGAACAAGCTAAAGTAAAAAACTAACGGACATGTATTTATTACACAACATGTGTAGGATGCATTGCACTAGGATTGGACCACGGTGGAGTTTCGGGCTCGATCTCAACATGCATCTCAAAATCACATGTCGAAGATAGATGGTGTTAGTGTCGGCCCATCCAGAGCATAAAAAGGGTCAATCTTTTTGATTGAGTACGCCGAATGTTTGGTAAATCCTATAATCCATTGTGCTATAAATTAATTTTTTCATTTATTGCATCTCATATTATTTTGTCTATTTTTTAGCATAATAAATTAGGTCGTAACCCAAATTCTTATGTGGTGTTCCTAAGTATTAACAAGTGAAAAGTTAGGTCATTCGTCGACAAGTGGTCTCAAACAATAATGGTAAAAAAATTTATTTTAGTAAATATACATCTATCAATATAATCTAAAATATATATTTATGATATAATATTTTAATTATTTCAATGATATTAAAACATGTGCGGACATTATAAGAAGTAACTACTAAGGAGCAATAGAAAGGTGATTCATTGTCTCTAAACATCGACATGATCAAAATATATTTTGATGTTGTAAAAGGAAAAAAGAAGCAAAGAGTGTATGGCCTTGGATCATAGAAATCCCAATATTATTCTCATCCCGATGCCGGCTCCTCCTCTACCACTTTGCGGTATCTTAGTGGTAATATTCTAAAGGTTACTTGCCTAGTACACAATACGATCAAAGGGATAAAGGTTATCATCCAACAACAAAAAGCTAAATTCAATACTATATAAAGTCGGATGGAGATAGTGATGGAATTGTTACAAGACCTCTAGCAGACTCGCGCCTCTCTTGCTCGATCCCTCTCCCCTTCCCTCACAACATAAGAATTAATCGTTCCTCTCAATATCCAATAGTTGAAAGATGATGTACGAGATGATGTTGATGAGAACAAGATTTCTTCTTTTTTTTTTAAAAAAAAAAAAAGGTTTTTAATGTTTTTGTGCACCTTGATGCATTTATATATTAATTTAATTTCAATTTATATTATTTTAATATTATTAAATATTATATGGTACTTTAATAAGGTATTATTTTAAGTATTTTGTTCCTACCATTATCATTAAATTACTATTAATTTTTTAAAAAATATTTCTTCATTAAGTGATGCATTAACAACTCGAATTAGCGACTAAAATTAAGCCTCTTTATAAGGAAAATGTATACAATCACTAAATAACAATAAATATAGCAACAAATTTTAGCGATTATGATTTAAAGTGAGAAAAATAAAGGCAATAGCGACGATTTTATGACGGATATCACACCTTGAAGACAACTGTTTACTTCGCTTTAGGGATGAAAATTCTACAAATCAATGACGAATAGACCATCACTAACAAAATAGCGACGTCCATTTTAACTACTAAAAGTATATTGTTAGAAATTCATCGCTAAAGTTAAATAGCGACGGATATTGAAGATATAGCGATGAAAAATTTTGTCATTATTTTTTAATTTTCTTATATTGCGTACGGAGAGAGGATTTTGGACTTATTATGCTTGATAGTATATCTTTCGTCGAGTTTAGCCTAAATAAGCTTAATAGTTTATTTTTTTATATTTAGAGAAGATATTCAATACTATTTTATATGCAAGTAGATTGTAAAAGATATAACCTATAATAGTTGTCCTTTTAACATTTTGATATGAGATTTTGTCTTTTGACGTGGACGTATACTCCGGATCGTACTACAAGTGCCCTATTGCAATCATTTGCAATGAGAGTTCTTCGTGATATGTGACGAGGCATATCTATCTTAAGCATTTTTTTTGTTACCTTGTATCTCGTTAGGCATGACATCTATAGTAACGTGGAGTTACCTCAATCATGACCAATCGAGTTCAAGGTACTTTGTAGTAAGGGTCCTTTTGGGCTAGGTTTTCGATTGGCTCGATATTGGGTTAGTATTTGAGTAGTCTAATATTTCATGATATATTAATTTTCATCTTTTTTTTTTTTTAATTTTTTCGGTTGCATGCTTGAAGCTTAATGTGGTGATTTGGTACTTTCAAGGGGCTTGTATGGTGGTTAAGAATATATACTTCTTTCCTTATTTTTGGTTTCAAACCTATTTTTTAAAATGTTTCAGATCTATAGGGAAAATACATTTTCATCATCCTCAATTGATGTATAAACAGATCGAACAAACCCCTTACTATTGAAGTTACAAACCTCATAAGAAAGAGCAAGGTCGTTAACCAACTAGTATATCTTGCAATAGAAAATCTCAAATAATTAAAATCCTTGCAAATCACCATAACTTTATTCATATTATTAATCATAGTTGTGAGACAATTACTAATCAACTAATTCGACAGCATGGATCACAAGACTATTTTAGACGACATAAACTTTCCTATAATAAGGATGAAGAGTATCCCATCATATGCTCTTTCCTTATATAAGTGTCGCTAAATATAAAACAGAAGGGGACAGACACCTAACAATAAATTTAAAACGAAATCACAACATGCATGAAACACACGAGACCTAAGGTATGATATGTAGAACAACCAAGAGAACATAGGCTCAACCAAAAAAAAAAAAAAAAAAAAAGAACCTTCAACGTCTGATAAGAAAATATGTTGGTCGACAAAGATCAATCAATTAAGTTTCTTGATCGAAGGTGGTTGATCTTCCCCGGGATGGGTTGGTGGGTGAGGTGGCCATGGCTTTGGTGGTCTAGGAGGAAAAGGAAAAGGAGGATGAGGCATAGGTGGGCCAGGGAATGGATGTGGAGGAAATGGCTGAGCATATCCACACATCCCATAAACACACCGGACCCTCCAGGGGCATCTATTTCCGCATCGGCCACAATTAAATGGGCTGCCATTTACATTAACGCAGAATCCGCGGCAACAACGCCAAGTAAACGGGCATCTAATTCCGCATAAACCACAGTTATTAACATCCGAAGAGACATCAACACATCGGTTTCTACAACACCGCATTCGAGCTGGAGGTGGATGTAGTCCCTCTCTACATGTCCACGGCATGCTCCAGCAGCCAGGGGGCGTGGCCGTGGGCCATGATTCATTGCTTTCTTCAGCCATGGTGATGTTAATAAGCCAGTTGTGTAATTGTTCTGAACTCCTTCGAGTATAGATTTTCCTTCTGTTAACTTAGATATTATGGAAATGAGCAAGAGAGCAATTACAGCATTGCCTAGCCGCATTATTAAGATACATAAGCTGTACCGAAAGGGAACGCTTAGATATATATATATATATACACATATAGGATCAAAGGGAAGTATATATAAAAGTTCAATTCAGTTTTGATCTTTGCCGTCCGGAGATACTCGAGGGGGCGTTCATGTTTTTCTTACATGTCTAAACAAATAAATTCTCGTGTTATGAGAGGTGGAAATTGCTAACTACGTGCTTTGAAGAGGGTTGTATCCTTGCTTTCTGCCTAGAGCGTCTTTTGCGTTTACATATCCATGATTAAAAGTAGGTGTGTAACTGGTGTGACCAAACCCTTTTTTTTTTCGAAGTATTAATTAAGTAGTATTTCAAGATATAGTAAGGGCCATTGTTTGTGCGTTTTCCTTTTCCTTGGTAGACGGTTCCATATGGTAAACATGAGGTTCATCACATTCGATCCAACACCATCCCCCCTACTATTAGCGACCTTGCCTAAGCATCCATTGAATGATTAAATTAGTCAGAACCAGTAACCCACCAATGGATCACATGCCTAAACAGCTTCGAGTGTGCCACAGTTTTGTACTGGCCATTATACTTACCTTCTGGGTCACTAATTTGTTAGCCTATAGATACATGACAAAAATGGGTAGCAAAACCCATTAGATGGACTATCTGCGCAAATAAATAAACCAAAATTGCAATCCATAATGTCTTGCTTTGAACATATGCATCGGATGGAAAGAAACAACGATCAATTATGCAATAAGATTATTTTAGTACCCTGATCATTTTCAAGTCATGAAGTATCACAAGTCAGTTTATTGGACCAATGCATGGGATTTTTCGAGAAGTGAATTCTGGAAGAACATGAGACAAAATTAGCATTACTCTTCTAAAAAAAATGCTGTGTTATTTTTCAGCAGCTTGTACATCCTCCTGCCCATAGCGATGTCTAAACTTGGCAATTTGACCTAAGCTTTCAGCCATTTGCCGTTTTGCTCGGAAGTGGTTGACTTTACCGACATGGTGTATTTTTGTCATCATAACATGCATCAATCTCTCACTCTGGGTCAATAGGAAATCGATTGCATCTGAGGATGCATTCCTTTCTTTATTTTGTAAAATCTGCCTTTTAAAGAGTAGCCCATTACAAAGAGCTAAACACAAACCTTATAGATTTATCTTTCCAAAAGGCTACATTTAATTAAACAATAGAATTAAAGAACATTTTTCCGGTCTTGGTGTAACCCTCCCAAAAATATTATAGGATATAGATGTAAAGTCTACAAAGGGATACTATAAGACTAAAATCAAATTTTAGACCACATAAAATTGCAGATTAACGAATCTATGGTAACGTAAGAAAAACATACGGAAGCTAACGTTACAATCCCGAGATGGAAATTTGGATCACAAACTTTGCTGTTTTCTAGAAAGAAGAATACAAAAATTCCCCCAAATATAGAAAGTGTTAGCGTAGGTGTCAAAGATTCAATCTTTTTTTAGATGGATTTGACTTATTATATTATTACATTATTCATATTTTTTATAAAGAAATAAGTTTTTCTATTAATCTTGTTATTTATAGTTATTAATTTAATAGAATTATATAGAAGTCTATATAGTATGTATTTGCATTAGTGATTGATAGAAAAATATAAGATAAACACTAATACACATAAATAATTTTGTTAAATATCTTAAATCATAGCATGACCAAGAAAGGGCATTGACTATATGCGGATAGACTTGTAAGTGCTATGTCATACTATATGATAGCGAGTAAAAGATCTTACACCTATTGGTATGATGATGTCAAAACAAGCGCTTAGGTGATTAATTTTAAAGAACATATCATTGGACTTGACTCACCATAAGAACCCATTTAGTATAGTCTATGGGAATCTTATACGAGATGGGTACAACTGGTCCTTAAACTTGAAGTCGGCATGATTATCTTATTTGAGGATTTATGTATTTTGACACTCGTTTCAATAGACCTACTAAAGGGTTGCACATGGGTGATTTGTTGGGTACACTAGGAATCTAGTGGAGGTAGGTGAATGAGTAAGATAGGACATGTCATTTCTTATATGTTAAAGGAGTTATCAATTTGCACTTCGATGAATGTCTACTCGAGAAATATGCGGCCATAGTAGAAGTCTACAAATAAAACATAGTTGGTTTACTTTAAGAGTTAAGACATGTGGGAAGCGAAGAAAACTTGAGTGATCGGGATCGAAAAAAACTAATAATCAAGTTTGAGATCACACTACGATAAGTTGACATGAGGACTAAATTGTATGATAATAATGCTCGTGAAAGGTAATTATGAATCAATTAATCCTCCTAGAGAATTGAGCGATCATAATGCCTCGCTAGAGGCCAATATTGCTTTATGTATCAAGAGATAAAAGAGTGTCTTTTATTCTTGACACATTGCCAACATATCTAAGAGCTTATTGAGTCACACGTATAAGTTTAAGCATTCACATGATTAAATAGAAGCAAAGATGTTATAAAAACTTTTCAATTATGAAAGTTTCCTATTTTGGAAAAGGTTTTCAAAAATGAAAAGTTTCCTAAAATGGTAAGTTTCTTATTTTAAAAATTAGTTTTCTAATTTGGAAGTTAGTTCCAAATTTAGAAGTAAATAACATAAAATAAAAATTAGTTTCCTAATTTAGGTTTAAGAGTATTTTAGAAAATTATTTCCTAATATAGGCCTCCTAAAATTATCTAACTTAATTTATTTAGATAGTCCAAATTAATTAATTGGGCCAAAATAGTTTTAGGCCAATAGCTTTAATTAAAAGCACTGAAAGATATATTGGTGGGAGGATAAACATGAAGCTTATTGGATAAGGATGATGTTTTATGAATAAAAATCAAAAGCCTACATGTTAAATAATACTTAAACCTTAAAGGATTAGGAAGCAACAACCTAGAGTCCTTTAGGAACTCATTGCCACGTCTCCTTCTCCTTAAAGGACAAGGAAGCCTCTCCCTCTATATATGGGGGAGAGATGCGACAAAGAAGAGGTGTTGTTGAAGAGAGAGAAAATTTAGTACAAAGAAAAATAAAAAAGGCACACGGCATCAAGTAAAAAAAATGGGAGAAAATAGTTTTCTTTGAAAAAAAACCTTAGCACACGCCGCCTCTCTCTCTATTGGATTGTTACAAAATTACCCTATTAGATTTTTATAGGAAACATTAAACAAGTTAGAGAAGGTGGAGCTAGCACTCTACTAATTTTCGGTGCTTCTTTTGTAAGTGCTTGAACTATATGGATTATCGATAGAGACTGGACACTTGAACAACTCTTTTTTATGAAGTTTAAATCTATACTACAAGAAGTAATTCTTATTTAAAGCTTTAATTCATAAATTTATGGTTAGCTAGTTCAGCATCATGATCTTAGGCCCTTTAGATGGAATAAATTTTTATTTTATTCCGTACCTCCATAAGATGTCTAATCCTTCAAATGGTATTAGAGTTTCCATCGAATCTCTAATTATATGTTTTATTAATTATGATTAACTGTATGAATTAGCTATTCTTAATAATAAATCATTTTTTGGTATTTTATATGAATTTAAAATCAAATTTTGGGTTAAAATTAAGATGAGATGCACGAAAGTTGGCGTTGGACATTGCCACCCACGTGCACAAATAATGATGGCTGGTTGCGCACTGGGTATGCAACAGCCCCTAGCTAGTCACTCGTTTGGCGTGCAATATCCCTAGCTACTCACACGTTGGGCACGAGGCGAGGCTAGGCCAATTGCGTGCTAGGCGTGCGACAAGCCAAGCTTGCCGATCAAGACCGCACGTATAATGATGCGAGTAAGGTGCTCGCACACTAAGCCGTAGGCAAGGCGTGCGGATGAGGCCCTAGGCCAAGTGCTCATATGCTAGGTCATTAGCCATGGGCGAGCACATAGGAGTGCGTCAAGCCGAAGGCTTAGGCATCGAAGCCCTTGGACCCTAGAGGCCTAAAAGTCCCATTGGCCCAAAGTAGGCCCAAAACCCAAAAAGTTTTAAAAAATTAAATTTAGAGAAATTTTGATAAATTTGTAAAATGACAAAAACATAGATTTATAATTGCAATTTTAATGAAATGTGTTTCATTAGTATACCATGTATCAATATGATTGAAGCATAAGTGAATGGTATGAATGAGTCGACCTAATTTATGAGAATGAATGTTTGTAATTTTTAGATAAATAGGACATACATATCCCGCCTTCTCTAATACTCTATTATTTTTCTCTTCTCATTTTACTCTCCTCAAATGTAGCTTTAGGTTTCTTATTCCAATAAATGTAAAAATAGAAAATAGGAATTGGAATAGATGTATGGAGAAGAAGCCAAAAGTGAAGACAAATCCTAAAGAATTTGTAATAATTTTTCACTAAGGTATTTGACCCACTTGTCTCCTTGTGGCTTGAGGGGGCTAGTATTAGAGATCTATTAACATTCATTAATCATTGTGTCATGTATAAGATCTATGTATTTATATTATGTGATTAATATTAGTATGCATGTTAGGACTAATGAGATTAATGACTAGTATGCGATCTAGGATGAGACCTACCAAATTAAAATTCTTTAAATTAAATATTAAGTTAATTACCTTTCAATATTATGAGGAGAGAACTCTCTTGATCTTTGTTGGCTTATTGAGATAACTCAAGGTCACTTCTTCCTTGAGGGAAACAAATCATAGGTCATGCGATATCTTTAAATATTAGGTCTAACTTAAATGAATTATTAGGTTTATTGAGATAACTCAAGATCTAATAAAGTTATAGACGAAGATTGGTTTTTACATAAGATGTGATATGATAATGAGTTATTATGCTAATGAGATTAGGAATTGCCTTAAATGCAATTCATAAGGAGTTACCCACCTAATACTTCGGGTATGATTTATTGAGATAACTCAAAATTGATGCATGATAGAGGATGGGATCCTAACCCACTAAGGAGGATGAATAAAAAGTCTTCTTGAGTTCTATATTT